GTTTTTTCTATCTCCAGAGAAAGTGAAAGGACTTCACACTGTTTAAAGCAATGTTTTGCGTTTAGTTGTACAGAAAACAAAACCAGACTTTGTTACACCTCTTTTATAGACACTGCACCGGGGGCTTTCGTAGCCAAGAGGTTAAGGTGTTTGCCTTTTGTTCAATAGGTCCCGAGTTCGAATCTGGATAGCGACGGAAAATAATTTCTTCCCTGAAAGTTATTCATTTCACATCCTTTCCTGCTCTCTAGCAATGTTCTGTTGTTTGCTTCCGTCTCCATTTTCTGCCCCCTTCCCCTCACCTCCTTTGCCCCCTCCTCTGGGCTCCAGACTCTTTCTGCAGATTTTCTACTGCTTCTCCTTAGCTCCTTCTTACTGCTGTCTTTCAGCCACTCCCCTGATCTTATATAGGGCAAGATCTACACCAAACCTTCTCAGACTACGACGAAAAAAATCGGAGGTCCCGTGTGCAAGTAGCGCGCGTTGAAAATCCCTTGGTGGTCTAAAAACGAAAAGAGTAGGCTTCGGCCGCCACCCGAGCAAAATTCAAAATTTCCTACCGACTGAAAATGTTTGGTGTGCCCCGCACGCTCGTATTATCTGGACCTGATTCCTGTTAATAAAAAAAATAAAATTGTATATACAAGTCGGCTACTCAAACTCTTGAATGAAAATGCGCCACCATATTTTTCAACTCTGTTCAAAAAGTTGTTTCAACGTGAGGCCCACAATTATTGATAGTAGAGAGATGTGATCCAATGGACATTTTGGTCTAGTGATTAAGCTACCGGCCTTGCATTCGCGAGATTTAAGCGTGTCCTTGAGAAATGCATACTTTTACTTAAAGTTTCCCTTTTGGCTTGACCCAATAAGAGATGGACGTTAAATTAAGAGCCTCTGCCTCTTAACCCTATCCGTACGTCGTGTTTTACTATCGTATCCATACGACCAGGGGAACTCTGTGCCACCACTTTCCAAAGTGGAAATTTACTCGTTAATCCGATCTGTACGCTTTGCATAGTAGTCTGTCAAAATAATTTTTTTTAGAAATACTGAAAGTCTCAAAGAGATCTTCGCACTAGAAGTATTCTAAAGTGTGAAGAATACAATCCCAGGGGTACAAAATGACTCCAGGGCGTGCAGATGGGGTTAAATAAACTTTCAATGTTGCAAGGGGCGTTGAACGTATTCAATTTCAATTTCCAGAAGTGATCATGGGATAATGCAATAATGGCTAGTGTAGAGCGAAGGAAATAAAACAAAAACAACCTTCTTCATTGTAAGACAAAATTGTAATGAAGGCATAGAATGAAAAAGACAACACACTTATTATAATATTACAACAGTGAGCGATGACTCACTACCCGGTGATACCAACTTTTTGTTGTTAGCAGGATGTCATTGCGTGTGTAGATATGTGTACGTATGTATGTGTGTTTGAGTGTGTGTTTGTGTGTGTGTATATATATATATATATATATATATATATATATATGTGTGTGTGTGTGTGTGTGTGTGTGTGTGTGTGTGTGTGTGTGTGTGTGTGTGTGTGTGTGTGTGTGTGCGTAAGCCTGTATGTATGCTGTCGCTACCACTAATTTTTGTTTGTTTTAGTAGAGGTTTTACGGCGCTCGCAACTGCATAATACACACTAGTTTAATTTTCTGACCCTATCTTATCCTCCTCTGGTCAGACAGTTTTAAAACAAGGGTGGGTGGGCACATCATCCTAATTGTTTGTATGATTTGTCTTCGCATATGTCGAACGTATACATTGATTATGTCTGTTAATCAACGTTTTCCTAGAATGTATTCCCACGTAGCCTGAAGCAAGACACGTTCGGTCACGTGATGAGAAAATAACAAGACACGTTCGGTCACGTGATGAGAAAATAACAAGACACGTTCGGTCACGTCATGAGAAAATAACAAGAAGATGAACGTAACCTTCGAGAACGAAAATTCCTCAGCAAAATTTTCAGCTGAATCAGCATTTTGCAACCCCGTCAATTATTCTGATGTTTTGTTTGAGTAGAAAAAAGTACAAATATGTTTAAATAAAATAACAGGCATTTAGGACGAGTAAAGAGTACGACAGATAGACAGACAGAAACAGAGCGAAGGAGGACGTACCTGCCCATGGCATTGTCCGACATCTCACAAAACGTCTGAGATGTTAACCAGAGGGCAGTCAATTTTTAAAATATTTTTTGTTTGTTTGTCTTGTTGTTTTTGTTTGGCTTGGTTTATTATTTTAAAGCGCCTCATGTCATTTTTGTTACCAATCTGCTTATCCATGACTGTCAACAGCTGGGGAAAATGTCACTTCTTTATCATAAAGTCCATCTTGTCGTGATGTATCTTATCATATCATATTTGAACTTAACATGTCATCTAATGCAATAGGCGATTTAGTCAACTATTATTTTTATATCATCCATCGTATTAATGTTCATTTTGTCTCATCTTGCTTAATAAGCAATACATCAAGATCTTATCAAATCGTTTATCATTTTATCCTAGCATATTGACCATGGTAAAAGAAAAAGTGAAACACTACCAAGGCCATCTCTGGTTTAAACAAAAATAGATAGAAAGAAAGAAAGAAAGAAAGAAAGAGAGAGAGAGAAAGAAAAGAAAGAAAAAAAGAAAGACAGAGAGAAAGAAAGAAAGAGAGAGAGAAAGAAAAAAGAGAGAAAGAAAGAAAGAAAGAAAAAAGAAAGAAAGAAGAATGAAAGAAAGAAAGAAAGGTGGTAGGACAGTAGCGAGCAGGACAATAACTGAATGCCAGTGGGGGAGGTATAAAACATTGATGCACTAATGCCCTGGACTGAGAGAACCGGCTGATTGCCACGAGTGTGAAGATGAGATTTTTGACCTCTGCCTGGGGGGAAACTAACAACAAAGGTTGATTGAACGAGAAAAAAGAAGTTGCCAAATTGCCAGGTGACAGTAGGTCCATGTAATATCGAGAGCTCGGAAAGGTCATTGACCTTCGCTTACGAGATTGGGCTTTTCTCCTCTGTTCGCATGGGGTACTCCAGTAAGATAAGATCTGGATATCCTTCTTACCAATATTGTTTTCATTTTATTGTATTTTATTTTATTTGGGGGGGGGGTCATCAATATTTTCCATTGCTTTTCTTTTCTTTTAGGGGTGCTTTTTTTTTGGGGGGGGGTATACTGTTTGTGCTTTAAAAATCACTTCTAAACACATATTCTATTATGTAATCCAACTTTTACTCACATAAAGACATACCTTAAGGTAGGACGGCAAGTGTGCCCTTTCTTTTTTTTTAGCAAAATAAAATATCAACAAAGAAACAATACGATGACAGCTCTACAACGCTAGCAATGGTGAAATGACCACAACAAACGGCAACCAGAATGTCAATGACAGGCAAAGTAATAAAAAAGTTATCATCATCATCATCGTCATCGTCATGATCATACTATATTCAACATCAACAATGTTATCATCGCCAACAATGACAACAGCATGAAAAGTATTGATCCAGGGATCGCAGTTAGTCACAACAGACAATTACTGACTCCATCGCCCCCTAAACCCGTCGGCCAAACACACAGTCACAAAAAAAACAACAACAACAACAACAACAACAACAACAACAACAACAACAACAACAACAACAACATACAGGGCATTTTCCTTAAAACAGGAGGCTCAAATTAAGTCCCGCAGCGACAAGTCACTACTGGTAAAAATCATGACCGGTCACTTTTTTGGGCTGTGGACCTACAAAAAGAGAATCTAAAAAACATCGGACCCAATCTGTCCATTGAGCAGCGAGGAGCCCCAAGATTTGGAGCACTGGCTGCAGAGATGCCCCGCCACGGAGGTCCAGCGGTGACATTTCTTTGGAAGATTCAGGGAGGTTGAACTGTCTCACCCGCTATCCAAGAGAGGCGGTGGCGGTGGCAAATATTTTGAACGGATAGGCTACCACACACACACAACAACAACAACAACAGCAACAGCAACAGCAACAACATCAACAGCAACAAAAACAGCAACAATAACTTCAACAGCAGCAACAACAGCAGCAGCAGCAACAGCAGCATCAACACACACCAGTTCCTTAACAAAAAGAACAAGTGACAACGCACGACCGAGACAAAACGTCATAACATACACTTTAACACCCCCTACAGATGCACCAGCTACCCACGAAGGCTACTTAGTTTGAGTAAGAGTTTTACGGCACTTGCATCTCAATTAGGTCACATAAATTCCGAAGATTAGAGGTATTTCAAAAGACGACAACGTGACACGAAAAAGGAGGCGAGATAAGGACGATAGGTGTTCAATAAGAAAGAACGAGCATACCACACCAGAGCACCCGTCAACCACCTACTTACGTAGAATCAACATGAGCAACTAACACAAGACAAGTCTCACGTTGTCCTAATTAATCTGCTCACCTAAAGAAGTTGGAGAGATAAGGACAATAGATGTTTAATGGGGTAGAAGGAACAAACCACATCAGAGCATCCACTAACCCCCTAGGGTTACGTTGTTTCAACATAAGCAACTAACACAAGACAACAGTGGCGTGGTCCCAATGAACCTGCTCACCAATCAAGCGTGCCGAAGATTAAAGGTATTACAAGAGAGTAACAAACACCAAAAAGAAGGAGAGATCAGGACGATATGCGTTCAATAGGAAAGAAGAAGTAAACAACTCCAGAGCATCCACCAACCACCTACTTATGTAGGGTCAACATAAGTAACTAACTTGAGGCAAGTTTGACGTTGGGCTAATGAACGTGCTCACCAATCAAGCGTGCCAAAGATCAGAGGTGTTACAAGAGATTAACAAACACAAAAGTGGGAGATAAGTACGATACATAGATGTTTGATAAGAAAGAAGGAGCAAACCACAACAGAGCATCCACCAACCATCTAGGGCTACGTTGGGTCAACATTATTAAGCAGCTAACACAAGAATACTGTGACGTTGTCCTAATTAACCTGCTCACCAATCAAGCGTGCACGTTCCAGGTCACGCGCGTGCTCCTCAAGGTGTAAGCGATCGACCAGTCCATCAATCGAAGAGGGGACAAATCAAGCATTAAGGTAAGCTCAAACGGGGCTTCATCTGGATACGATCATCGATTTTCCTCAGCCTGATTAGACCGGCTCTTTAAAGGGGCGATCACCTTTCAGGATTTTTCCTGGAAAAGAAAGAACGAAAAAAAGTTAATTTCCTGAATAGTTGCGTAATCCTGGTCGAAGAAGCTGAGGGGGGGGGGATATTTTGAAATGTAGCAAAACTGTTGCTTCAGAACAATATCAAACAGAACACATCTAGCTGTATCTGAAGAATCCTAGATAAAATATGGCAAGGCTGTGTTTTTGCCTTATCCTCAAAAATGTATATTTGCCTGATCTCCTACAAGCCTCCCCCCCCCCCCTTTTTTTTAAATTCTTTTGAAAATCTTTCTTCCAGCCTCTCTTAAAACAGACATAGAATGAGACAAATAGAAATAGAGGACAAAGGGGGTGGGGGTGAACAGAGAGGAAAAGTCGTGGGACACAGGGGGTAGGAAAGATGAAGGGGGGTGACAAAGAGGACAATGGCGGGGAAGGGGCGGAGGGGTGGGAGGGGAGGGGGTGGTAAGTGTTTTACGATATAACGGTCCTATGAGCGTGTAGGGCACATTGCCCAGGTGGCGGCCAAAGCCTACTCGTATCGATTTTGGACCACCAAGGAACCTTCAATGTGCGTAACTTGCACACTGGACCTCCGAGATTTTTCACCCGTGTCCGAGAAGGCTAGGTGTAGATCTTTCCTACCAGAAGATCAGGACTATGGCTGAAAGACAGCAGTAAAAAAGAGCCAAGGAGTAGCTGTACAAAGACTGCAGAAAGAGTCAGGAGTCCAGAGGAGGGGGGCAAGGGAGGAAACGGGGTGGGGGTAGAAAGTGAAGACGAAGGCAGACGACAGAACATGGCGAGAGAGCAGGAAAGGAGGTGAAAGGAGGCTATTTTTAGAGAAGTAATTTTTTAGTCGTTATCCTAATTCGAACCCTGGACCTATCGGTTGAGAGGCGAACAGCTTAACCTCTTGGACACGAGAGCCCCCTTTTAATATCTTTATACTGTATGAGTTGAATAGATTATAACAAAGGAAACCGTCGCAACTCGGATTCAAACCCGGGACCTATTGAATGAGAGGCGAACACCTTAACCTCTAGGCCGCGAGAGTTGACCTGGTCTGGTAACAAAGGGAGTGGGTAAAACTTGAGTTATCTCTCTCGGCCCAAAAAAATGCCTGCGCTTTTCGTGACGATTTGACCCCAGTCCCATCACGCACGTGACCTCAATCCCACTCTAATCCCTTAATCATGCTCACGAGCGGCGGAGATCTGTTTCCTGCAGAGCCGTCCCACCTTTCTCTGAATACCTCCTCCAAATGTTCCATCACAACTGTTTCAGTAACTAAGTCACATCTCTGGGGCAAATACAAGTCACGACGTGATGTACAGTACAATCGTTCCTTTATTTTTGAAAGATATTAATTTCACTTTCCATCGACACAATTACGGTTATTATGGGCCTTGTCTGCTTTGATCCTACCTGTCAGGGCTAACCCGCGCTATGTGGGATACCAGTACAGCATTCTAGTAGAAAGATGGGGATATTCTGAAAAAAAACACCCTTCCCTAAGGAATTAAACCCACGCCCTCTGCGTACGACGGAGGAGAGCATTAGCGTTGCGGCATACACGGGGATATGTATCTTCTCAAAGGTATGTGGTTGTTATTGTTTTGTTTGTGTGCATGTCTGTCATAATATCATTAAAATATACTATTTTTTACCTGCTCATTGATCTGAGGCAAAGAAAAACGGTTTGATAATTATCTTTAAATCCCTATGAGGGTTTTACACAACCCACACTTATTTAGTCACACTGTATGCAACTACTATCTACCCGTGTTCGTTGTCATGGTGCTGATGAGTACGCAATACCATCGAGGAGATCTTGGAACAAAGGAGTCTGTGAGTAATGTTGTTTTTGTGTTGGTGTGCTTTGTCTTAGCTGGATGAACGGAAAGGTCAGAGGAGAACATGCCATAGTTAATACTGGCAATCTGAGGTGAAGCAGAGCACCTGTATTTGTGAAACAGCATGTGGTTGTGTCTGTGCACTTGTCTTTCTCTCACTCTCTCTATCTCTCGCTGTGAGAGTCTCTTTCTCTCTCTCTCTCTCTCTCTCTCTCTCTCTCTCTCTCTCTCTCTCTCTCT